TGGTGGTGTGACATGTTTTAATTATAACGGCCAATCAGGATATAGTAATTAACCTGACATGGTGCTCTCAAATATGAAATAAGTAAGTAAGTAAGTACATTTTATTCATAGAGCACCTATAGAGCAAGTTTGTTCACCGAATCTGAATTTCTCTGTTGTGAGATCAATAAAGTATATCTCAATAGTTCTTGACTGAAAATGAAAAGCCAATGGACCATGGTAACACAATGATTATTTTGATACAATAATAAATAAATGCATATGTTTTAAGTTTCAGACGGCCAAGGTGAAAGGAGCCTCACCGTGTCCTGCACAGACACTGACGGGGAGTGACCGACAGGATGTCCTGCTCATGCTCCCTGTGGTAACGTTACACACGAGAAGCAGTCTGTTCTCTTTTAAACATGAATTATTTAATCTTTAAAACATGATTTGGATCAGCAGATAGTGTTTTATGACATGTCCTTAATCTGAATAATATAATCTGTAATAAAAACCGCAGTGTGCAGAAAGGCAAGCTTATTTGTATAGCACATTTTCTACACAAGGGACCTCAAAGGGTGTAATAAAAAAGAGAAAAAGAATCAGAAACGGCCTTAAAATCATAAATAATCATCGTATATTAAAAAGAGTGAAGATAAAGTCCCTCAGTATGCACAGCTAAACAGAACTGTTTTGAGCCTGGATTTGAACAGAATCAATTAATCAATCATATTCATTTATAGCCCTTTAAAACACTCAAGACGACCAAAGTTCTTTACAATAAAATCACATAAAATCCATGAAAACATTCATGCAATTAAAAAAGCATTATAAAAGTACCACCGCGCTAATGAGTGTTAATAGTGTTAAAAAGAGTCAATATTTATAATATAAACTTAATTTATAAACTTAATATAAATTTATATTTAATTTAAAAAGGCCAAAATCAGTAATCAGTGAAGAAATATGTCTCACATTTTCAGGAACTGTTTCCAAATTTTGTCTTTGTTTTTTTTGCGTTAGTATGGCTCAAAATAAAGCCATGCAAAAATGTGAAATACTGCCTCCCCAGGTTTAGTCCCAGCTCTGGGCACCAGCAGGGGGCCAGTCCCTGTGCTCCTCAGAGTCCCAGCAGGTGGCCAGTCCCTGTGCTCCTCAGAGTCCCAGCAGGAGGCCAGTCCCTGTACTCCTCAGAGGCAGAGTTAGTTCCAAAATAGCTCATATTGATGCTGCTTAACGAACATAACATACAGGGGAGACTCCCTTTCGAGCTGGATTTTGTTAATAAAAAGAACATATTGTATTATCATGTATTCTTTATTTTTCTATTTTGTTGTTGTTATGTTTTGTTGCTTGCCATGACTCAAAATGAAGTATTAATTCATCGATTCATTGATTATTCCTGCAATATCTCTCTATAGTTCTAACATGTATGGACATTTATCAACACTTATGAACATTGGTCAACTCCCCCCTATGGACCAGTGCCCATGTGTTCTCTATTCTTTGTGTTTCAACTGATTCTCTGATCTGCGTTGGTGAACTTAACTGAGAGAAATACTGTTGTGATTTAGGGCGTTACAAGAATAAACTGAATTGAATTGCCTTTCAGCTTCACAAATCAACAATCATATCGAGCACTTGATGCAGAAGCCCACGTGTTGCGGCCCTGTCGGGGTCACTGCTACTGCCCTTTGCCAAAATCTTTCAGGCCTCTTTGACGCAGGTCCGTTTCCTGTCAAAGTGTAATTTTTATTGTTCCGCGGGTGCAGACTCCTGAATCTTTCTCTTCCAGCCTTTTCCTGTTTCCTTCTGAAGAGGAAGCTCCACTCTGCTTCACTTTTCCCTCCCACAACTTCTCTGGGCAAATCTGGAACAGGGAAACGCAAATCTGCATGTGTCGGCCAAGTCCTGATTTCAAAGAATGAAAGGGTTCCTCTAAACGACAAACCCTCCTCCCTCTTCCATTTGTGCAGCATGCAAAATGGCACATTCACAAATAACTTCAAACTTATTTATTTTTTAATGCCGCTATAAAGCCATCCCCCCGTCAGAGGTTCCCATGGCTTTCTGCACGTGGGATCTTTGTTTGGAAAAATACTTATATATGACCAACTGCAATGGTTTTCAGCATACAATATTAATTTTACAGAGAAAAATGGTTACATTTAACAACCCCTGAAGTATAGTAATTCTTACGGTTTGTGGTCAAATGATCTTTTTTTGCTCTCTATTGCTTTTGCCTGCACAGACCTGGGAAAAAAGGGCTTTTGTATAGTGTTCAAGAGTTTTGTCGAACGTAGACACCTTTTCTGCATCTCAACAAGATTACATATAAGTTACATGTGATCATTAAATGTTTAGTGATTTAGAAATAAAGGGTTCTATGTTATCACCAGTATTGTTTTGTTCATGTATTCCATAGTATTGATAGACAGACAGACATAGATATAGACAGAAAGATAGATAGATAGTTAGATAGATAACATAAGATATTCACTGATCTCACACTGGAGAGATTAACATGTCAAATTTGGCACAGATAGAATCACTCAGATTGTGCAAAAGACAGAAGTGTGCAACATGTTAAAGCTAAAAAATATAGTATGTTCAGGATATGTTATGTACAATAAGAATTAAATAAAGAGTCGCAATAGCAGTGCAGGTTTTTCGGTCTTAGTGCATGACTTAAAGTGACTTTTTGTACAGTCTAACAGTGGTGGGGATAAAGGCCCTGCGAGTAGCACTCCTTGCACAGATAGACATAGGCAGACAGACAGACAAATAGATATAAACAGATGTTGGGCAGACAGGCAGACAGATATAGACAGACAGACAATTACTTTATTGACCCCGTTAAGAGAAATTCAGGTGTCCAGCAGCAGAAATAAATACATAATTATAAAAGTTACTAACAATAGTAGGAGCGTTGTATGTTTTTTTTATAAAGCATTACAACTAACAACCTCCTTTCACGTACCCGTACAGCAGTCTATAGACCGAACTCTAAACTATACGTCTTTAGGCTAAAATGGAAGAGACAAAGTGCTGTATGGTATGATATGAGAGACTGATTATATAGAGAAAGGCCACACATAGATTAGCCTATAATAAACCACAAGTCAATTGGATGGAGACATGCTCTAAAAATCTAAATTTCGAGAGGTCTAAGCAGGATGAAGAGTGTTTGTGCAGGAGAATGGTTTTATCAGCGTCAAACACTCACAGGATATCCGGATTGGGATTGTCCGTCCAAATCCTGCGTTCCACAGGAAACCCAGCATAAAAAGCAACTGAAAAACGCCCAAAGACATTTCATGTGTCGCCACTGGACTCAAAGGAACACAGAGAATTAGCAGCTAGACTTAACAGAGACGGCCAAAGCCAAGTTTTCAATAATTTGGCACAATGTCGGAGTCTTCCTCAAGTTTGCCCCAGCGGCCTGTGCGCGCGGCTGCTGCTGACCCCGAGCGCGCACACGCACCTGACGCGCACAAACGGTAAGCATTATTATTTTATTTTTTTCTCCATTGTCCTATTACACGTATTACAGCTTGACTACTTAGACCTTAAGAAGTAGGTGTTTGTAAATATGTATTTTATTTATTTATTTAAATTATGGACATAACAATACGTCACATATTACAATTACATTTAAAATAATTACGTTCCCCTAAATGAAAAGGAGCAGAAAGAGGGAAAAAAAATCTTGCGTTGCCTGCCCCTTTCTTAAAACAAGTACAAATCAAATAAAAACATAATAATTAAGATGGACTTCAGCACCAGCGTCAGAATAACGTTTGAACTCTGACTTCCACAACGCAGTCTGCAGTTGGTGAGTCAGCTCCACCAATATTAGGAGCGTGTACAGTACGGTTATGAATGAAACAAGAGAAGTTCTTGTGGTCTGGAGCCGCTCTGACGTCACGGGGGTCCCCCTTCAACCAGGCTCTGAGCAGTGGGACCCCAGACACACGAGAGACGAGAGGGAGGACGTCCTATACACCCCCCCCCCCATGCGCGCTCTGTCAGTCTGAGCACCTCCGGAGGACTGCGTGTCTCTGTGGAACTTGGAATAAACGCGCTTAAACGTCTGCGTAGAAGGATCGTGCGTAGAAGGGACGTGAGGCTGGACTTCTGTAGGTTTGTGATTTTTGTTTGCATGCGCTGGCGATGGGCTTTTACGCTCGCTCTCTATGAAGTATTTTGTTGGACGTGTGGCAGGATCTTAAACGTGCAGACGCCCCGAGCATGTATGTGATGTATCTAGTCACTGTCAGGCTGTGAAAAACCGGTGTGATTAAAATTGGATAAGTTCATCCGTGATACGTCGTGTTTTGCTGCTAATTAGCGTCCCCTTGTGGCAGTTTGTGTGAACAACATTGTCATCCGGATCAATACATGAATCTAATCAAATCAATTCACTCTGACAGGTGAACTATTATAATATTTAACAATATTTGATCATAAATTATCTCCTGCATTTTTTTTTAAATTAAACTACTATATTATCAGCTGCTTTTTAAAATACATGAGCTTAATGCAATTTCTAGAAATGTCTTTACTTTTATGAGAAGCTGTTTTACACAATAATCCATTGGGCCCTAAATAATAAAAACTCAATGCAACAGGAGCAGACTATTTCCAGTTGTGACTCTACATTCATGTTTTTATAATCTGTAATTATATGCAACTGTATGTATCTTTTGCTGCTTCTTGTCCAGGAATGGGACTTTACTGGTTAAATGAAGGTTAATAAATAAAAAAACAGTGTATTCTAAATGTGTTCTAAGTAATTCTATTTGACCTAAATGAGAATACACCGTCCACACCAACACTGCATTGGTTTGAAGTATGCTTCTTTTTTTTGCAGGTAGCTGGGGCTGTCCTCTTGGCCGACACATTCAGAGTGAGGGACTTTGGCCGCGGTCCACAAGTCTCCCCTTAATCCCCGCTGTCCTCCCGGCTGCCGCTTTACAACTTGAAGGGTCCCAACAACGTGGGAAAAGAAAGAGACTATGAACCAAGCGCTGCTGCTCCACTCCTCCCTCTTCATCTTTCATGTGATGGGCACTCCCCAGCTCCACATTCACCATGGGTACGCTAATATTGTACTTCCTGTGTTTTTCACGCTGCTCCCATATTCCAGCCAATTCTGGTTTTGATTTAACATCGACAAGAAAGAAAGAAAGAAGTGTTTGAGTCTGGTTTTCCCCTGTCGACACATTGTTACACCAGAAAACGCCCATACATTTACCAAAGTTTATTGGTCAGTTGTTGATGCTCCAGGGTTTTTTTTTTAAAACGTTTTTCTTCTATACCTCTGATACAGTATTTTTGACAGTAGCATCACATGTGTTAGCAGTAAAAGCAGCAGTGCATATTTATCTAAATGCATAACAACAATTTATTCAACACATAAGCACATGCTGTAGTTAGATGAAGGAATACCTCGCTATTTTACATTTTACAGCAAATCTACTAACAACTTGACCATAGCTACTTTTTCTTTCTAACCGATCAAAATATTATTATTATTCATCTTTATTAAGGACACAATACAATATGGTCCATAAGAAAAAGAAAATATACAATACATACAGTGTATTGCCTGTAGAAAAATAAATACATACAAAAAACACAAATAAGAATATTTAGAGTATACAAAGTGTCTTTAAATATTTGCAACAAGAAAAAAAACTTGGGAACACATGTTTGACTCGTATTGGTACTTTCTGTTTTCCAGGCGGCGGGTGTGCGGCCAATCCCTGCATCACAGTCGAAGAATCGTCATCACAACTCAGGTTCAGGCCGCACACACTCCCTACATCACCTCCTGTGGGCACCGGCTGTGTAGCACGTACAAGTGAGTCTGCAACGCACTCTGGAACAGGACACATGTACACACACACACACGCACATGCACACACACATACCCATACCATATATACAATCATACCCAGACCCTGATACCGAGACAGAAACAGGTGTGTATACAAACGCACAACCACACACATACATTCACACAAATGCACACGCACGCACACACACACACGTACAGTATGTATATAGATTAATATACACACACACTCACCCAGACACATAAAAACACACATAATGTCTTTGTACAAGGCTAGTATTGGATGTTTGTTTTATCAAAAGATGAATAGAGATGAATGAAGCAGTCACACACACACAGCGTGCCGAGGACTGGGTCACGCTGGTGATTTTTGGGTAGAATCTACTGATCTCAAGTACTTTGTGTAAGTGCTGGAAATGAACGACCCGTCCACAGAGACCGCTTGTTGTGTTTTTTTTGGAGTATACTTTCAGATTTTTTTCAACTCCTGCCAAACCATAAAACATCTAGAGTCATTGTTTGGCAATTCAACACTGAAGCCCAAAGATTTGTACAGATGTAATTTGATCCTTATGAATTGGAGTCATGTTGTCCTGCACCTTTTTGTTTATGTTTTTGATACATTTCTCTGATTAGCTTGCGCTCACATAGCTCAAGACAGATCTAAGTTCAGATCTGCTTCAATGTTTCAACACTGACACACACTTGGAAGTCGGTCGCTTACATTATTCTCCTCAATTTTAATTTCATGGTTCATATTATAGAAAGCAAAACATTTCTCAGCATTTTTTATCTGGCTCAGAATGTGAAGATCTGTGTGTATATAGTATCATTAGGCTACAGTCATGAAACTATAGAACCTGCTCAACTGAGAATACTTTTGGTGTTTAACAACTTTTTCTCTGTGTCACAAGAACGAGGTACTATACGGCGTACAGACAGACCTTTGCACCTCAGCCACATTACTACCCGGAGTGCTGTCCCGGCTGGAAACGGATTCATTCCCACAATTGTAATCAAGGTAATTTTGATTCGATAACAGATTACGCACATGTATTTTTGTCATCGTTTTAAATAAATACACACTATATATTTTACAGCGGTGTGCACACAACATTGCATGAACGGCGGTACGTGTCACAAGCCCAACCAGTGTGTCTGTCCGTCGGGCTGGAGCGGCCAACAGTGTCAAACAGGTAATGGACCAAGAGACAAGTTCACATACAGACAGTACTTATTGGGAATTCAAAGGCTGTAAAAACATAACCTTTCCTCTGAAATATATCGTTTGCTGCGGCTGTTTCTGTGGTCCCTTACTAAAACCCAGTTCACCTTTCGCGCCCTCATTGTTTTGTGAGTTGTGCAATTTTCTGTGCTTTTTTCCAAATACAGATAGTGTAACATCTCCATCTTACTTCTATCTTGTTAACTTGTCTTTAGTGTCTAAAAAGCTCTACATAATTACAATGTATTTTTATTGTCGCCATTGCTATAATTACCATAATATACTTTACTTTTGTGATTCTGACATGGACACTCCTGCAGCTTCCCGATTGGTCAAAATGAATTAAAATCCTTGAGGCCTCTCGTCATTGGTTAAACTATTCTACTCCATCAAATCTTACTGGTTGCAGTTATGCCAAAGGGTGGGATTATTCTAAATATATTATAGTTGGGAAATACATACTGTATGTATGTATTTCCCAACGTATGTGGGCGGCACGGTGGCTGAGTGGATAGCACTCTCGCCTCTCAGCAAGAAGGTCCTGGGTTCAAATCCCGGTTGGACCAGGGCCTTTCTGAGTGGAGTTTGCATGTTCTCCCCGTGTCTGCGTAGGTTTCCTCCGGGTGCTCCGGTTTCCCCTACCACTAAAAATATGTACAATAGGTCTGGCATGTGCCTCCTGTACTGGCACCCCCACTCCCAAAAAATAACAATTGTAAACCGCTTTTAGACTCCGATGTGCAGTGAAAAGGCGGTATATAAATAAAGATTACTTACTACTACTACTACTTACTATGTAATATTACTGTGTCCCATAGACAGACATATAGATTATTCTAAAAATGAATTTTAAGTTCCTAACATCACCTTTAACCCCGTAGAACCCAGACATAGGAAATATTTGTGTAAAAAAATGAATATTTGCTACTTTGGGACATACTTTAGTTTAAAGTATATAGGAGGATATTGTCCACTTTTTGAACAAAACTCTGTGGTCATATTTGACGACCAAATGTTTATACTTTTTCATACCTGTTTAAATGTATGTTGCATATTGTTGTGCCACAGAGGATGAGGACAGAATACAGTGGCATGTCAGAGTGGAGAAATTGTGATAGCATATTCATCACCAAATGATAGTAGCAGTTCCAATTCTCAATCAGGGTCCATCAGTTGTTGCCAGTGCCTTATGTGTGGTTCTGTCTTGTGTTGCAGATGTGAACGAATGCAGTGCGGAGCGGCCGTGTGCTCACAAGTGCGTGAACACCGCGGGCAGCTTTCGGTGCGAGTGCAGAGACGGCTTCAGACTGATGGGAGACGGCCGGTCCTGTCAGAGCCTTCCACCTCGGCCTCCTCCTCTTCCTCCCACCCAGCCTGCTGCCGGTAAATGCGAATGATGTTTTGTCACGTTTCAGCAACATGTATCATATACACGCACACATATTTATGCAAAGATACACACACACAAACCTATACCCATACACGAACATAGACATAGACTTGGACCAAGAGACAGAGACAGAGAAAGAGACACACACACAAAAAGACACAGAGAGACTCAAAGGCTCAAACACACACACACACACAGACACACACACACAGACACAGAGAGACACAGAGAGACTTAGACTCAGAGACACACACAGACTCACACACACACACAGACACAGAGAGACAGGCATAGAGAGACATAGAGACTCAGAGACACACACACAAAAAGACACAGAGAGACTCAAAGACTCAAAGACTCAAACACACACACACAGACAGCCATAGACTCAGAGACACACACACACACAGACACAGAGAGCCATAGACTCAGAGACACACAGAGACTCACACACACACACACAGACACAGAGAGACAGGCATAGAGAGACATAGAGAGACCCAGAGACACACACAAAGACACATAGAGACTCAGACAGACACTCTCACACACACACACACACACACTTTCCACTTTTCAGCAACGAAGAGAGAGAGAAAAGTGACCAGGTTTGCGGCTCATTATTACTTTTGGTACGCGCTATGCCACTCTCAACTCGTACCGTGAGTAATAATGCACTGCGACTGGTTCCGAGCATCAGAACATACTGCTGCACGTCAAGAAGAAAATGTGGGCTTTGGTTTGTCTGTGAACTGTGTACGTGAAAAAAACATTAAAAGCAAGTATATGTCGACGTGGTTAAGTCCTATCTTTCCCTCTGATGTTGAACTCAGTATGAAGTTCCTTAGACTGGCTCTCACCTACAGCATGTTCGTGCTGTAGGTTGTGATAAATTACATTAGTTACATATAATCACATATCTAGCCTCATACATTATACTTTTAAAAACGTTTTCTTTAACCTATATTTAACCAGGAAAGTCTCAATCCCTTCCTTCACCTCAGGGGGCGCAATAACAAAACAAAAAATACATTTCTCCAACCATTTGGTGGATCACTTTTTGACCTCATTGGGGCACTTTTACCATTAACCTGCATCTTTGGTAAACTAGTGGTTAGAAAAAAACAAAACAAAAAAACTCTTAGTATTTGTGTTATTAGTTATATATATCATCATAAAAAAATAAAATAACATTGCTTTCTTCAAGGAGTGAGTATTAAAAAGGTTTGAGTCCAGAAAGTACTGTAGCTTTACTTGAAATAAATAGTAAATCTTGTCCCATTGGCAGATTAATCACTTATTTCCTCGATTCCAGCGTCTCTTGGAGCCATTGTCCATCCATCCATCCATTTTCTACCCTTTTAATCCATTTCTGGGTCAGGGGTCTCATAGGGGTCTCTCATCCCCAAGTCTCATAGCACCAGCCCCTCACTGATCCTCTGCAGGTGGTGAGTCCACAGGAGGACGGCTGCTCTCTGAGTGTGAGCATAGCCTTGATCTTTCAGTGGGGGCTCTGGGCAAAGTGGGGTTAAGTGTCTTGCCCAAGGACACAACGACAGCAGTCATCAGTGGGAGTCGGTGGAGAAGGTGCAGAGGTGGGAATTGAACCCACGACCTTCTGGCCTTAAGGCCAATGCTCTACCAACTGAGCTACTGTCGCCCCTTGGAGCCATTGTGTGTTTTTAAAATTAGCTTTGTTGTATAACTCATTACTTATAAAACAACAATTTGCGAAATATACAGTATCATTATTGTTATTTTTACACTAAATCTTGTTCTTGTTTGAGTCCCGAGACCGTTCCAGTCGAGAGCCGCTGCCTCAGACTGCGTTCCTTTTGATAAGCAGACGTCAAGAGACAGCAAACAAACTCACGGTCCAAGAACTCTGTCTGCTTGACCTGAACTGTCACGGAGCACATTTTTGACTCTCAGATTTCCGCATGTTTCTTTCCCTTCTGGGCTGTTTAATAAAGCCGAGTTCTGTCAGCTCTGCAGGGGGGTCATCGACAACTCCCCCTCTGTTCCTCCTTCTATTTCACATCAGTCTATTTCTCAACCAGCGCATGTAACAAATCACACCTGGGACAACGTACTGTTCTTTCCCTGATGTTTGCTTATTATGCATCCAGGAGAAAAATGTTTTTTTCCATGTGTATTATTGTAGGTTATTCATTTGTTAAAGATGAAATATCACTTTTTTGTTTCATAAATACATGTTGTTTATCCCACTAGAACGAGTCTTGTTTAAGCAGTATTTAAGAACAAGTCAGACCTCGAAAAGCTGTGTCTATCGTATAAGAAAACATTTCATATTTTACGTGCTGAGAGAGGTTGAGTAAGTAAGTAATCTTTTTATTTATATACTGCCTTTTCACTGCACATAGGAGTCTCAAAGCAGTTTACAATTACAATGAATGAACGTGGTCCTTTTCTGTCCGGAAAAAACAGATTTAGAGATGTGACAAAAGGCCAAAATACATTGTTATTATTATATTATATTTTTGTGGTATTTGTGGTATTGTTTATGATCTCTCTTGTAAATTTCTCCATTGTGAGATCAATAAAGTTTTATCATATCTTATCTACAGATGAAACAAGTAACCTAGTGGAAAACGTCACGGAAGAAGTACAAAATCTAAGAAACAGAGTGGAGCTTTTGGAGAAGGTAAAAATAATTAATTATAATAACTTTAGGATGTTTTATATTAATGATTTATCCTTCGCAGACTTTACAGATGGCATTGACCCCTTACAACAGCATCTTCCCACTGTCGGCAGAGGACGGCCTGTCAGAGAAAACCACATTATTGTCATATTCGTTTCAACAACTCGACCGCATTGATTCGTTGAGTGAGCAGATCGGCTTTCTGGAGGAAAGACTTGGTACATGTAAGCACCTACAGTCACTTTTATGAGCGAAAATTAGAATATTTACTAGTGCTGCTACTACTACTACTACTTATAAAAACAATATCTTGGTTTTCCGGATCCAGGTTCCTGCCAGGAAGACCAACGGCCCTCTCCAATCAAGTGAATGTGTCTGTGAAAAGAGTTATCGATATATCATTAAACTTGTGATACTGTCATGTATATATTTTAGCAGACCGTTCCTCCCTTCTACTTAAATCCTGTTTCCACCAGCCCTACTTTTCCCTACTCCTCTCTACTCATGCTAAAACCCTACCTCAATGAAGCCCGATATGGAAGTGCTCATGGACTAAGTTTGACTCCTAGCTCAGAAATGGTTTGTTGGTTTAGTGCTCTCTACAATCCCAGTGTTTTTATTTGAATATAGTCTTTGTATGAGCCACAATATTACTAGGATTGACCAATCAGATACCTTCATTTTCAGGGGAATCTTAGCAACACATCTGTCCCTGTTACGGCGATAAGCTAACACTGTCGGAACAAATACCTTTTTAAGATAAATTGGCTCTAGTCTAGCCATGTACAAATCGGGTTCTTCTTCTACTCATCCGGGTAGCGCTTCCATTGCATTTTAGTATCAGTATCCAGGGAAATTCCTAGGCTTTAGCGGTAATCTCTGTTAACACTTTAGTACCAGCTCGACCTGGATAGAACCAGGGTCAAGCAGGTATTAAAAAAGTACCAGTAAACAGGGCCAGTGGAAACGCTCCCAATCGGGGTAGAGTGAGCTGAGTGGTGTAGGGCCAAGGGCCAAGTAGGGCTATAAACAGGGCTTCTGATTAATCACTGGTACAGCTGTTGTGGTTAGGCCTGTTTTTCTTTATTTTTATTTAAGTTATGAGTTCTTCCAGTTACAACATTTTACGCAAATATATTTTTAAAATAAATAATTATTGTCTAAAGTGGGCTTTTTATTCCAATGTGTTATTCACTCGCCTTATTATATGCTTAACAATGCTTATGTCCTTTTTTGCGTTTAGTCATTTTGTGTTATATATTTTGCAACAGGAAGAGTGGGCGGAGATAGGAGGTAGGTGAACAGTTCAATTTAATCTAGAGGGCATGGCATGGTTGACTTTAAAGTTTCTCAATATATACAGTCTATGAGTTAATCACATTAAACAAATAGAAATAGTACAACCTTTTACTTTAGTCGTTACATACACAAATATTTATCGTATTTAAATAAGGCTTTTTAAAATATATGCCAAATAACGAACAAAAAAGGATTGCTGAAGCTAGCTTCGCTTAGCCTAGCCTAAAGTGTTGTTAGCTAAGCCTAGCCTAAAGTGTTAGCTTAGCCTAGCCTAAGCTAACAACACTTTTTGTGGGTCTGAGGAAACTTCCACTCTATAACTGGGAAAATGTGACTCCTAAACTTTAATTATAATTTAGTGTTTTTTACTTACTAAATTTTAGACTATTAAGCTACAAGCATGAATAACAAGCTATGAGTTATTAAAACAAATATTAGATAGGTACTTTATTCACATGGGAGTAAGCAAAACATATTTAGAAATGATTTATTGTTACATATTCTTTAGCAAGGCATTCATATTTACCTAGTATAGGTCAAGAAGGTTTATATGAACCAGATACAGAGCACACTGGCGCCTGTGGGACCACACCCATCCATGGACCACACGCACAGGCCACAGCAGGATCTCAGCTCTGCGTTTAATATTCCTGTAAAGCCATCACCTGTAAGTTTTTTATAGCTTTGGAGAACACTTTCCACCCTCGCTGAGCAGAGAAAGTTCTGTGTTAAACTGCTGAATAATTTAAAACCTTCACTGTCTAAATGATTTTTTATAAACAATGTGCCCAAACAAGCAGGACCAATGAAGAGCCACCCGTTTGAACTATATGAAAAATGTACAAATAATCAGACTTGAGTTACAAACCAACAGAATAAAGCAGTATACACTCCAATCAAAAAAACACATTAAAGATTATATTACCAAAAATCTATTTGGTAGTCAATTTGGTTAACATTCACACATTTTACTGTTCTGGAAAATGACAGCCTGATAATATTGAAATAGAAATAAATATATAAAAAAAAAAAAGTTGTTTACTCTTTCCTTAAAGATTACTGGAGTGATCATAAAGAAAAGTCTCAGCCTGACAACACCATCCTAATTGTTTTTCAGAAAATAATTGTATATGGCTGGCAACTGAACTCTAGCTGCAGAACATTGTGATTAAAATCATGTCACAAGATTGAGATTTGTCTACAGATGTATTGCAATCAATATGAGGTCTTTTTCCTCCATCTGCAGAATTCAATCCAACAACCAAATTCCAATACACTTGTAGATAGAGTAATACTTTGTAGGGTAATGTCACAAAATAACTATGAAAATGTAATACACAAATAATTCCTTAAATATGTTTCAATACATTCTTATATTCGGGGCAAAACAGGAGACCACGACGAATGGAAAACTTAAACTAAAAAGTCTTTAAGGCCAACATTTCCACATCAATTCATTCTACTTTAAGACAATGCACATGTGAAAAAATATTGAGTGTAATTGGTTCTTTGTATTTAGCTTTTGTTCCCCTTCTGAAAAAGGTAAATATTACACACAGGGAGCGCTCTCCTACAGCAGGGAGTTACCGTGTAGTTATTCAGTCAATAGAATTCACAAGTATTATGGGATAGAGGTTGGTTAGTGTTCCACCTCTGACAACACCATCATGGCACAGCAGCAAACGCTCACTTTGGAAAAGTACTGCTTGAACAAGGACATTGCACTTTCTGTTTGACACTTCTGAAGTAGGTTCATTTGACATTTCTTAAAAATGGGACCAGAAAAATAAATATACAAATTATGCATAATACGAAGCAGTTTCACATAACTATAAGTAGTATGTTTGCTCTTGATAAGACAGACTCGATATGGATGGTGCACATGGACACACCAACGACATATCACTGACATTCTACCACGAGGGCAGATGACGTCAGTACAGACAGATGCAACTTCACCTGGGATTTCATCCTCTGAGAGTGTCAGATGTCACAGTACTAAATAGAAAAAACAAACGCTTAAAGGAAGCATTATTCAATAAAATAATCCTTTGCCGATTGTGGAAACGTTTTGAAACAAATGAAAACTGGACCAAGCAGTGTAAGTAAGGCGATGTGACATTATGTAAATTTGTGCATATCAACATCCAAATAAATCCTATAAGTCTGGATGAGATAAATATAAATAAAGAAAAGAGTCAGATGTAAGACAAAGCAAAGATGAAGAGTGGATGAAGCCATCCAAAAGGCATGCCTCAAGATGAACACATCCGCACGTTTCGGCGTGTCCGTCACTCCTCTCACCGCGCATGGGGCACGTGAAGGTCAGGGCCTACTGTGCTGTGGCACTGGGCCAGGTGTCTATAGACTCATGAGAATCTCCATGTCCCGAGTGTAACGACGACCTGGGGGCAGCAGGGGGGCAGCGGAGTAAAGGCAACTACACCAGAAGGAGGAGGAGGCGGCTCTCAGTGGCTCTTGGGGCCGTTGCTCTGAGACACAGAGGGAGAGATCTCCAGAAACGCAGAGTGCATCACATTGAAGGATCTGTCACACAGGTCTGACACGTCGTCTGATGTCAGGCCCTTTGTCTCAATCTTAGGAAGAATCTTCAATCTGATGGTTCCTGTTGAGAAGAGAAAGCATTTGAATAAACAGCTGATTATTGTTCTTATAAAACAGATAGTATAGATTTTAAAATCAACTTAATAATGCGTTACTCATAAGTCACCTGATTTGAACTGCTTCTCTTTCCGTAGATAAAAGTTGCGGTAGGAAGAGAACACCACAGGTATAAGTGGTACCTGAAGAACAACACAGCAATATATAAGAATACACTTAAAAGTTATAAATCTATGTTGTATATAGTCACAGTAAACAACTCAAAAACATGCAAATTCAAGTGGGTCAGCTCAGAAAGACTAAAATGCTCCGAATCCTTCAACAAACGTAATCTTATTTGCTTCTGATAGACGTGTAGTGGCTCCCTGGAGGCAGAGTGGCCTCTCCATCACCAAATTAAGTCAAAAGCGTCTTCCCTAAGGGGCTTGTCTGCTTCAGTCTGACTGGGAAAGTAGAGAAGCAAAACAATGCAAATGTGCCCAGTGCAATTCATACACAAGGCCATCCAAAGAAAAACAAAAAAAAAGAAATTCCTTGTAGCAGGATATTGATACACATGTTATTAAAGTATAGTTTTGCTGTATTTAATATTGTGTTCTCATTTCTACAGATGTGTAACTTGTGATGGAACACTAACACTTCCCCACTGTGGGACAGATAATCGATCTCTTAATCTTATAGCCAATATCTCAAAACAAAGCTGCTCATTTCCACCTGTCGTCCCTGGAAAGGTTGGCGTTAACACACTAAAATAGCACTAGCACGTTTTGACACAATAGAGCTTTTAAATTTATTGAGCAAGTAGATTTCATGAAGTGGATTTCATTTTAGAGTCAGCTCATCTCCCCAAAGTTCCTGAACCATGTTTTCTGGAGAGAGTACAAGGCCAGGGGATGCCCAAATACATTGATCTGATTCTGGAGGTAAGACTCTAGATTTAATCCAATCTGCATTAGTGACAAGAGCTCTGGGGTGTACTATCTGGTGGACACTGGGGAAGTCTTGCACGGTTTTCCCAATGTGGTTTTACTGCAAATGGCAAATCAATTCTTGAATCGTGATTACATAGTTCCTTGCTGATGCACAAAAGGTCTAAGGACAGTCCAGGGACAGCATTGGTCATTCCGTTCCCTATGGACCAACGTCTTCTATGTGTTTGTTATTATTGCATTTGTTATGTTCAGATGGTTAAATTCTTTGATCTGTTGTTGGCGAACCGACAGCTTTATGAAGTCCTCCAAAACGACTGCTATTGTGATTTAGGACTACACAAAAATACATTAGATTGAATGAGATAATAATTTCTCTTTTTCTGCCAGCGTCTGAGTGCCAGAGATCTGTGCGATGGCAAATATCTACAACACTGCTTTTTTTCTTTGCAGGTTGAGATGACTTTATGATGAGGGTGATTACTGTAGAAGCACACAAACAGTTGTTAAGTTATTTTCATGGATTATTAACAGCATATGTTGTAGCATTACCTCACATACAGTCATTACTTCAAACAGACAGTACAACACTCGCCTGTGAACAATGTGGTTTATGGAGAGAACAAAAAAAACATTACAACCAAACGTTTATAATACTTTCCACCTGGGCCACGGATGGAACGGGAATCTCTGCTACTGATTGGCTGTTTTTATCCAGCATTCCTTTATATGACAGAAAATGACACAAATGACTACAATACTTCAACAAATTGAATCTTGTTGTATGTAATTTGTAGGCAATAGAAAATAGTTTTGACAATTGCTTCTGGCTCCCTCTAGTGTCCTGTAATGCAACGCCCCTCAGACTATAATAATTGTTTCTTCAACACAATAAAATAATAATAAATATGCAAATAATATTGATAAATGTGTATTGCGATTTTGATACAGAGACTGACGAGACTTGCCTGCGCCTGAATCGCCAGGTGGAAGGCTCCCTTTTTGAATGGCAAGAGATCTCCATTCTGGTTCCTTGTACCTTCTGGAAACACCCAAAGACGAATCTAAAGGACAAATAATAATAAATAATACATGGAGTTAGTGTTAAAGATCCAGGAGCAGAGAAACACCCCAGCCTTGTACTTGGGGCTGGGCAATCTGGGGAAGAAAATCAATCATGTTTTTAACCCACACAAATCCTACATCTCTAGCTAAACATATTTAACTGTGCATAATATCTAAGCCAATCACAGTGAGAGGCGAGGGCGCAAGAGTGAGCAAAAAACTTGTGCTGCCCGTTCCGCCAGACTCAGTTTTTCCATCAAAATGAGTCACTGTTACTGCCACGCAATTGGGTCTTCATCCATTTTAATTCAGGTGTCAATCCACCAACCTTGAGATAGAGATCTTTTGATTTTCTGGCAGAGCTCTACTTCTTACTCCTCCTCCCCTCTAGTCTACCACACCTGTATTCTTACCATTTCCCACGTCACAGCACCAGCAGTCTCAAACCTACCCTCTCCCTCTCCATGTCTCTGATCGGTCCTGCAACCTTGGACATAATCACAAAGGGCTGGGTCCCGGAACCAGCTGAGGGACCACATGAGATAGACCTTGAACCGAACAAGGCTGGGTGAGGGTCCAATCGATAAACCCATTTCCATTGCATTCTGTTGTTGCCAGTGAATGTAGTAGAAGTGAAAAAAGAGAAAGGGGGGGAACCTAACATGAAGATATAATCCAGATGCAAACTCCGCTCACCTGATCTTCCAACATGGTCTTTGCTGCCTCCGCCATGACGCCTTTGGCATCGCTCGTCTTCTTGCGGTTGATGAAGACGATCCCGCCAAGCCAACAAATCAGTCCGACGGTCCCAGCATAGATTAGCTCCTTCTTGGCAATCATGGTGCAGCGGTCGGGTAATATCTCCATCAGACCTAGAGAAAACAAGTGCGAACTCTTGAATTTCGCACAAAACTAACAAAACGTGACACCGCGGGGTTTACGGAGACGGGCCTTGAGGATCGTGGAGAGAAAGACGGAACACTTGAGAAACAAAAGAAAGTCTCAGAACAGCTTTTTGAGGTCAGGGTCCTGGTGTACATCAAGTATTCGCAATTCACATAAGCTTCCCAAAACACATCTAAAATATCAATTAAACAAGGTATGAACAAGTTTCAACTACTGTATCTTTGAAAAACATAAATTACTTATAATGGTAGAATTATTCTGTTTAAGTCAGATTTGTTGAATCAATTGTATTAAAGTCATGTGGTTAATATTGTGCATATATCTATAAATATATTTTGAAACTGGAATGACTGGTTTAGCCTCACCATCACCATACACTAACAAAAATGTAGCGTTAAAGATGGTGTTGCATAAAGCGGAGTGTCCACCAGAGGCTACAAAATGAAGCAACTCATTAAGGTCAGCACTTTATGTTGTGTAAAGACCTCCTCCTGTAGCACAAAGTGAGTGACCTCATTCAGGACAGCAGTGGGGAGGAGTTTATTCACAGGATGACAATACGCATTTTATTATCTATTTTCAAACTATCACTATCACTGTGGGTTGCTCTGGGGCTCTGAGGTTGCCCCAGAGCAGGGAAGATTAGAATGTGATGAGATCTGGGGCTGATACATTTTAGATATGTAAGATAAAAGATAAAAAAAAGAGATGGATGGCGTAATTTCTGTATTTTAAATAACATTTTCAGACGTTTTAGGCAATCCAAGAATTGTAAACAAACTTCACATAGGATGGCCTTCATTAAAAGTATACAAAGGTACAATGATTAAATATATAATGTACTTGGAATCTCTTTTAGATTTATAGTTTTGATGATTTGTCCTTTTGAAATAGAATAGTGACAACAACAAAAAATGTTTTTTTAAAACTAAAGTATTCGTCACAATTGTTGGCTATTCTTGTTTTGTTTCAAACAGTACACAGAATAAACAGCTGGATCCGGGTCTTCTCCAGCTCTGTGGACATACACGCAGTAAAGTCTGTAACTTTAGTATTAACTTCAGAAAAGTTTAATAAAAGGAAGGCACAAGGAGCAATGGCTTCTGTTGAACCCATATGATTGAACTTCAAACTGTACTCAAAGGAAAGGATGTAAAAGAGAAAACGTAAAAGTAGAACACAAGTTGTGGGGCAGGTGGATGATCAGCTGAGTGGGCGCTCATGGAAACGAATGAATAAGACGCTTTAATTACACATTATAGATCAATGTTCACTCAGGGCTGGATACCCAGACAACACATTTTGGTGACAATATAATTGATAGACAATATCTCACTAATTCAATATTCAGATTGTCTGAATATTGGGAATGGGATACAACAACAGTTTGACTTTACAGCCTCAGCGGCCCCCACGGTGGAACCTGAATACCTGAAAGACCTGAAAGAGGTCTCCCATCACAGCACTTACCCTTCCTTGTCCTGCTTTACTTCTGAGGTCTTTCACATGAAAGTATAGTCACCCGACTAAACATAAACGTCACATTTTTGGGGTTTAATACCATATTTGAGAAGACGTTAATGTCTTGAACGAGTCTGGAGTGTGAGTGAATGGTTGGTGGTGATCAGAGGAGCCATACTGATGGTCTCGCTTCTGTCTGTGTGCCCCAGGGCAGCTGTGGCTACAGTAGTTTTTTTAGTAGTAGTTTTTTCACTACTGTGTATGGAATGAAAAAATAATAACATGTAAAGCGGTTGAGTATTCTAAAAAAATATATACATATATTATTATTATATTTTTATAGACCTACCCAACACATCCAAAGAGCTCTGGTGGTTGGAGATGATGACATAGGGCCCCTGCGTCTGCAAATGTTCCCAGCCGCTCACTTCAAATCGTAAACCCAGGAAGTATTTTACATGTCGCACGAGGCTGCGGATGACTCTGTGGAAGACAATTACAAACATATCACAACATTTTAATGTGTTTCTAGCAAAGTTGTTAGAATGTACATCATATTGCAGAATATCCATCCATTTTTTTTTTTACATTATCTGAAGTACTGTACGTACTATACTTTGTTGTAGCCCATTTTGTTTACTACAGTATCTATATTTTAAGCATGAGTCATTAATATCTCTGTTCTGATGCACATTGATATAAATCAGATAAAGTGCTTAGTCTCCTTTTGTTTGATCCGGAGGGACTCAAAAATAAACCGTGTTACAGGTTCAATCGCCGCTGCATCGGTCTTAGTTTCTCGACAATATTTTTGAGGAAAAAAAGATCCAGCAATGTTAAATTTGAAGGTTTTTTTTTGAAGAAAATGTTAAATGTATAAGCTTTAGAGACAGAGCGACCATCTGTTCACTCATGCTCATTGCTTTTCAAGCAAATGTTACTTGTTTCTACATGAACGGATTCATAATGATCGAAAACCACACACACAGGGTTTATGTTTCCCCCTTCACTCCTGATTAGTGGATGTTAGACTTTATACATGTTTGAAACAGCTTTTTCATATCTGATATTAATCTTGTTTATTTTTTATTTCTACATCTGGCAAAACTGGGTAAGTATCAAACCAGTAAAACCTGTCGCATTACATAAATTGCAAGACCCAGGACATCATCTTAAGCAACTCATAAACCCAAACATGTGGGTTGTTCAGATGTCCACATTTGATTAAGAGATTCTATTTTTTTTTACATAGAGTAGAAACAAAGTGATAATTTCATATAGTCAACTAATTAAATGTGAAACCAGACAAGATTTTTTTTCTTCCTCAAGTTGAAGCGTTAGAGAAAAATGGACAGAAACCATCACATCTGTTACACATTTTTCAACGGCCATTTAATTTGTTTTTTTTTTTTTACGATTCCTTTTTATATCTAGTGATTTACTTATGTTGTGTTAACCATGTAAATCTTGTGGGATTTAATTGGCTGCTTTTTCAGACTGAGGACATTTTATTTTCTATGAAACTGGCGTTACAGTAGAATGGTCCAATCAGAGGCTGATTTTGACGTTTGAAATGTCGCCAAAAATATATTTGTCAATCTTTCCTTTTAATTTTATCCACACTATCTCTTCAATGTGTCCGTATTTGATTTTTTTTTTTTTTCATCTGTGATAGTAAATTTAGTTTTTGAGTTAAAACCTTTTAAAGTCCAGATACTTTAATTGACACTTTACTGTGAACACACTCATATACATTCAATGAGCGCATGCAAAGTTCTGTGAGCTTGTAAGACTTTTGAAGACAAGTGCAAACATGTTTCCAGCTATTGTGCTGATAATAGCAGAAAAGATTAGTGCCTTATTGACATAAAATATTTTTTTAAATCCTGACTTCAGCCACATAAGAGATAAACAGTTTAGACTCCTTGATTTTACAATAAAAATTCCCCTTTTGTCAGCGAAATTGTGACATGTTTCATTCACTCACACATTCTTGCACGCACTGATAACACAGAGCACATACGACAATAACCTTTACACATAAAAACGTTATCTTTTTCACAACAGCTTAACGATAACACATTCAACCAAGTACAAAAGCCACATTATGCAACATCTCAGCCTGTGTTGAAGCAGTTCCATCATTATTGAAATAGTAGCTAAAAAGTAGTTAGTATAAATTCTAGTTTCTAGGTTTTAATGGTGGACTTGAACTCCTCTCAGGCACTTTGTAATGGTCTACAGGTCCTGATAACCTTTACGCTGACAGATTTGTACACAGGTGCAATTTGACACCTACCAAATGGTTTAGGTGACCATGAGATAGTAATTACTTCACTTGTACTGAAGAGGAACACTTGGACATAATGTGCAGAGGGAAAAGTGTATACGTTGGCATTTTCCCCCATTAAAATGATCAAATAACTGAAACACAGTTATATATGTTTGAGTAAAATATGACTTGCCATAAGGTACATAACATACGTCCCCTTCAGCAATAAGTTTTGGAAAGATTCTGAAGCACAACATCAATATCTATTAATAACCAGTGATTTTTAGCCTAATTATTGGTCTAATTTAGGCTACTGGTCAAAGTAAAACTATGATAATACACAATACAACTCAACACAAACACGTATTAGTTTACTTTACAAAACAACAGCTTTGACACATGTTGTGACACATCCGCAAGTATTGTGTATGTCTCTGGACAAAGCACTGTCAAAAATGTTTAGTTATTTAAAATTAAAAACTAACTTAAATTACAGAAGATGTTTCTGGAAGCAATAATCCAGTAATCTTCTGGTAGATTCTACAAGTGGATTAGTTTTATAAGACCAGAGTGGGCCAAAAGAAGACTGAACCCCAGCAGTCAAAACTGTCAGGAACAACAATAAAAAGAATAATAATAATGAAAAAATAAAATAATCCAGGACATTTAATTTTATTGAACGTAATGGACTTTATATTCAAAATGTTGACATCAGCATTTTCACTCTCACTGCAAACAAATACTAGCTCTATACTATTTTGTTTTTACTGTTGGTATGGTATGGCATTCTGAAACTCAAAAAAAAAAAGCCATCATTGCAAACAGATTCACATATTTAATTAAAAATGAGGGACACTGAGATCTAAATCAAGAACACATGTGCCATAGTGTTAAACTCAGCTAATCCTGCAACACCAAAATAAACTTTTAAAATGCATCTCCAGTTCATGTTTACACAGTTCACTCACACCACAGCAAAAAGTCTTTCAAACTCAAAATCTGATGAATTGTGCATGACTGGGGTCATGACTTCACTTACCAGATGTAGCGTTAATATAGAACCCATGTGTCAAATTAGCAGCCCCGCGAGGAAGTTGTGTAGGGCTAATGTAATGTTAGCATGTGCATGAAAATATGTAAATAAGCATGCACTAAATCTCAGTCTAATTCATGTAACAGTGTATGGATAGACGTGTAAGCCTACACAAAACACAGCTATGAAGAGGATTTGAATAAAAGGAGGTTTGGATGTAAATATTGGCTAGCATGATAGCAGTGATGCTAACAGTCACATTAATGCACGGAAAACTCACCTCATATTCTCCACGTCTCTGCCTCCGCTTTTGAGTATGCACAGAGGGATGGCAATGAGAGCCAGACACATCATCCAAGCCACATAGAAGAACTTTTTAAAATAGAAAACAAATGTTCTGCTGGTCCACATCAGGAGTGGGATCAGCAGCAGTGGCACCATCCACAGCAGCACGACCACCTCCATGGTAAGTGAGAGTCAGGGGGGGACGCGAAGACAGGAAGACTGAGCCGAACTTCGAGCCCCACGGCCCGGGGGGCTACGGTGCCGAGAGAAGCCCGAGCAAGAGCATCAATCACGGGGGTAAAAAAGAATCGGACGAAGGCGCTTGTCCGGGCAGCTGCTAAATGATCATGTAGAGCTATGTCCCGTTGATCATCTGTTGCTAAATGGCATCATGAGGTGGAGTCATGACGTCACCAATTTTACCCCCATTTCCGGTTTGGGGTATGCGACCGGGAGCGTGGATGTGTTTGTGTTTACTTTCTGGATTGGTTGATTATTCGGGCTGTCATAGGGTCTAACGATCATGCAGGCGATTAAAGAGCCAAAGCTAAGACAAGTCTAATTGGATTTGGTGATCCCATTCCCATTAATCTTTTTACCACCGTTCTAAGCTCTTGTTTCTTTACATGCTTTTTAAGATCGTAATCAAATTAGACAGTTGCATAAAATGTAATTATTTATTATTATTATTATTATTATTATTATTATTATTATTATGTTTTAGTACCTCTGTTGGTATTAAAATATAAATAATATACATATATGAATAATGATAATAAACATCATTACATTCAACACATCATCATAAACATAATTCTTACTAGTACATGGGGAGGCAGCGTTTCAGATGTATTTATTTAGTTGTGCATACAACTAAAGGGTTGTATCGTCACTTTTTTAATGTATTGTGGTTATTTATTTTAACACATTGTGTGATTTTAATGTCTTTAATCTTGTTTTGTTATGCACTTTGAGTTGCTTTGTGTTTCAACTGTGCTATACAAATAAACTGGTCTTGCCTTTTCTTGCCTACTATTACTACTACTATTACTATTACTATCAATAATAATAATAGTAATTATTACTATTATTATTATTACACAACAACAGCAAAACTATTAATACTACTACTACTAATAATAATAATTACTATTATTATTGTTGTTATATAATAATAATAATAATAAATAATCCAAAAATATATCAATAACTATATTTGCATTTCAAAGGAAGTCAATGTGCTACAGATTCAGTAAAATTCTACACATTAATACGTAAGTGAAATGCACATCAAGTGCCAAAATTTATATCAATAGAAAAGAAAAAACCAATAAAAACACAATGACTTATTTCCAGTTGCATAGAATGGCCACAAGATGGCAGCACTGTCAAAGCTTCTGTAACGTTTTGATTTCCGTTCAGTGTGAAATAATACATAACAATTGACACAAACAGGATACAATACATTCTAACAACAATGTAATGTGTTGAGTATCTGTGCAGAAAAGTCTGTCGCCTTCAGCCGGTTCTGCTCTCACTTCCAGTGTTATTGTGGGGTCTTCAGAGAAACATCTGCCACGAGGTGGTGACCTTTCTGAACCTCCTACGACCACCACCCCCACGTTACATTCACGCACCATTCAGCAGAGCATGGCCCCTCGCCGCGCTCGTAAATGCACCGTAGATATTTCTTTATTGGCAGTGTCCGCAGTGTGACACCCCCCGCAGAGCCGTTCAGACCCGGAGCTCACGACACTCAAGTGAGCGATCGTCGGCAGCTGTCATTGGGTCCACAGGAGTGCGCGCGAGGCTCCTGTGTGAAGATAGTGCAGCAGCTCAGAGCCATCTTGTATCAGACAAGATGATGCTCCGGGACTAGGACCGGTACCGCCATACGGAGCTCTCAGACCGGCCGAGAATCACGTCTGCTGAGGTGGGCTTGGAAAACAGTCTCACGAGGAGTGGATTATTCCGAGGACATCAGACTGAAACCATGAGCTGGGGGACAGAGCTATGGGTGAGCATGTTCTCTCTACACAAACATGTCTCTGCGTAAGGATTTTAATAAGAATCTGATCAGCGCCTACGCAAAATTAATAAACTAATATTACGTTTTCTTAACAGTGCCAGATTTCAGGCTTTTGCTGTTGTTTTGACGTTAACACAACTGAGGGCTAATTTTCTGGATGATTGATTTTGCCTAATTATTGCAGTGGTCTATCATCAGTGTGTATAGGTTTGTGTTATTACTGTTTAATAACATCATCGTGTCTTGCATGTTTTCAGTCATGCAAGCTCCCCCCAAAGCACACACCCCCTCAACACACACTTGTCCTGAGATTGTGGTACCAAATATAGGCCTTTAGTCTTGATGTGTGATGTCAGGCTTCGCACACAATGTTTATTACATGTTGTTGCACAGCTCTGCATGCCTACAGAAGAAAATAGTGGGGTATTCGCTCCTGGTGTTTGATTTGGCCTGAAAGAACACACATGGATTCCTTCACCATGCTGTCACCTTTTTGTTTGTTTTATTGGCAGAGCTGAGACATCCAGCAATGATGATCCCATGCTGTAGTTGTAGAAAGGGATTACAGGATAGTGTCTTGACTCTTGACTGTTTGCTAATTGCAGTTTTCAGACTCAAGTCCTGTTGAGCTGTGATTCATGGATCTGGATGTATATGGCTTTGTTGTTGTTGTTTTGTAATGAAACTTATAAGAACATGGAAGAAGCTGTTATCTTTTGTTATTTGCAACTGTGCTGGTTTGAGAGAGAGGATAGGAATGATAAATGTGGATTTTTGTTTTATTTTATGCACATGGCAACAGTCTGGGAATAGTCACATGCTTGGTGTTTTGCTCCTCAAAAAGAAAGTCGATATTTTAGATTATTCAACTGACAGCCCCAGGATTCACATTGATCTTGAAGTTAGAATTTTGCAATGCAAGTATTCAGACAAAACATACTTCGATCAGGGCGCCTCTGGACAAAACATTGTCAGTTTAGTCCATACCCTTTTCTTTGATGTTTCATATGTGATCCAGGCTCTTGCTCACTGTGCAAGATGGTTACAGTCAGAGTTTAGCACCGGAATAACTATTGCCCCATGTATTTCAGAACGATTAGTGTTGAAATGATGCAAAAGATAGCTGTTGGATTGCAATAACACAGTCTTGCACAGGAAATACATTGACAGAACAGTGGAAATGTCTTGCTATGAATGCAAAAAAAATACACCTTTATCACCGGTGTTGTATGGGTGCCTCATATTGCATGTCCTGAGTCATCCAAAGAGATTAAACATGTTATTGTGATGATCCAGGACACATTCAACAACATTTATCAACATTTATGTTGGTCATCAACCCCTTGTGGACGGACCAATGGCTCGCCTCTATGTGTTTTTTTATCATTGCATTTTTTGTGTTTGAACTGCTTGATTCTCCGTCGTCATAATTCTATTTAAAATTGTATACCTTAGAAGTGTATGCTGATTTTTTTTAGGCCTTACTCAATTCTTTACCTCTCTTTTCTGACTGTTGCCAAAGCAATTTCCTTGTCTGTGAATTCTTGTTACTTACATGGCAATACAAATTATTCTGATTCTGATCTGTGTTGCCGAATCAACAGTTTTGACCTCCAAGATCGCTACTGTTGTGATTTAGGGCTAGACAAGAATACATTGAATTGAATTGTCATGTCCTATATCAAAAGTTTGCTGGTTTTACAACTGCAGAATTCTACCAAGGCTTGTTTTGTGAACGTAGTTTGTGAATACTCAACTACTTTGCAGCATTTGGTGGAGATAAAGCAGTTCTTAAAAAACTAAAGTTACCAGAACTCTCTATTTCTCAAACTGGCTGCAATTTTCTGGCTCTTGTGGGAAGTCCCGTTTGATGACGAAACATGTGACTATTTCTCAGAGGATCTACGGTCCCTGAAGTGAAAGGATGATAAACGATAACGGTTGTTTTCAGAGTGAATTTCAGGCCATTCTCTCAGGTGTATTTTTGAATCAAGTTTGCTGAGCTTAAGCAGATGGAGAATCACATCTCCGGTCTATTTCCGTTTGGGGTTTAGATATCACACAGCAGTTTCAAAGATGGCTTGAATTGAACAGCTGTTTGGACGCACACTCCCCAAACACACCACATCACAACTTTAAATATAGTTTTACTCACAATGAAAGACGGTGAGGGGCCATTTCGCGTTCCCATTTGACACACCTCACATCTTTCACTTCTGCGATGCGCTGGCTATGTAAGGTGGCCCGGCGCTCATTGGTTTGTGTAGTTCCTCGTGGACTGGATTAACAAACTCTACCTTTTACCGAGATCATGATGGAAACGCTTGTAAAGGAGCTACAGCTTAAGGTAGCAATATTTAATTCCTGTCTACCTGGTATACAGGATCAATGTTTAGATTCTCTGCAATGTGTATCTTAACATTAGACTGAAATTCTAGTAGTATTTTTTCACTTATTTCCTGACTTTTTCAGCTCCAGCAGTTTTCTGGTAACTCTGAATGCATGCACACTAGCTTTTGCTTAGCTTTCAACCCAGGTTTTAATTAAAATTCATGAACAAAAAAGACTGTTATTAATATTAATGGTAGATTTGTGAGTTATATATTACAGCAATGCTTGTACGTACTCTGTAGTTTAGTTTTAACATTGCTTAGTTTGTTTGACGATATTTAGTTTTATCTACCTTATCTATTCCTGTGTTAGCATGCCATAATTAGCGTGATTATCCCTCAGAGGCACAGATGTATTCCAATTGTGTGAGCCAGTATGTGGGGCGTTAGAATGAAGCCAATGCTCTTAGGCTGAGTCTCCTGTGGCGTTCCCTTCTGTCTCAGTCGGTTCTCAGGGTCCAGAAGCTCATCAAGCCCAAGGATATACAGCACTTCCAGAGCCGAAACCTGAGATTGTCTGTTTCCTCTTCTGTCGGCCGTGGGGTCACAAGACTGATGTACCCCACTTTAACTCTCTCTCAACACCAGCCACCTGCCCTTACGTTTTAGGCATGCAAGCTATGCTACTTGCAAAGTCAGATTTTAGAGATTTACATATATAATTGAGAATACAGATGAGATTTTTCCCTGAATAATATATATTGATAACAATTTTTTAAGTGCCAATATTCACACAGAAGTACTACTATAACTGTAGTGGTGTCTGGTGCTGTTTCTAACATATGGGGGCTACTATATATTGGTTTGAATTTCTGGCACTGTCTGAATTCCTGTCCATGAGAATGTGACTCAATCTTTCCCAGTCTTACTTGTAATCTCCGGCCTCTTTGTGGCCTCTTGCTATTTGTAAAGTCCACCTTACTGTAAATCGCTGCTGTGGCATGGGAAATCCAACTGAGGGTGAAGCCAGTGTCTGTGACTTATCGTCACTGAGTCTGCTCTAATTATTGCTGTGTTGTACTACACACTGTAAGTGCTGCTTGTTCTTTATTAGGTGACAGATATACTGTTCCTCTGTGGCTAATGGAGTTGTGTTGTTTTACACAAGTGCCCTTTAAAGGTGGAGGATGTAGAAGGTCACATCTGCATTAATGCCCAAAGCGTCTCTTCAAGCCCATATATACAATATGCGTCTTACTAATAAACTTAATTATTTATTTAAGCAGGATAATCCCATTGAGATTTAAATATCAAGACATCAAGTTATCAATATCACGCTTTTTTTATCATGTCCTGGTCTGGTTTTTGTATTTGTAATATTTACAACAATAATCAGTGGTTTTGCTATGATTGTTTGCACCAGTTGCCATGTATTACTTATTGTTTGATCAGGAAAATGTGAGTGAGAATATTTTTTTTTCCTCATTTGAATATCAGGAAAGTTGTGGTTGCTTACTTGTTAACTTGACCTATGGTTAAGCTAAAGATATACTTGTCTTGTTCCAAATGTGTCTTCTGCATTCTACCTTTCCACCAATGCCACTGAGGCTTTGATGCTCGACCTGGTCTTCAAGGATGGTTGTTTACCTGTTTTGTGTCTTGAGCGAATCTGGAGCGCCCAGAGGAAACCCGTACACTGGGAGAAGTATGCTAACTCTACACAGAAAGGCCTTGGCCGACACAGGAAAACGACCAGAATCAAACATGGTGACATCACTGAATCTATATATAGAATACCAAAGTAATTCTCATCAATTAGTCTCCCCTCCCTTTACAGAAAATACATTATACAATATGACCTTTATGGGGATAAATACATCTGAAGTGAAAAGAGTTTTAATTTTGATGATATATCTGTTCCCAAAAACAAACATATTTCTTGCTAGGTCTTTCATTTGGCCGCATGATATTTCCCACTTACGTAATACAGAGTCAAGACGTTTGTTTTGATGTTTTTTCTCATTCATTTGGAGTCAAAGATTGCATTTTCAGAACAGAAATTAGTCTACAATTTGAACACACAATGATCATGTTGTTGTCGCTTCAAAGTTGTGTGACTTATGTTTACCGATCGTGTCCAGACTTGACAATTGCCTAAAACATGCAGGCTATGTTTGTGAGCATGTACCCCCCTTTACTGTAAGACCAAAATAACATGCAAGCCCCTTTCAAGCAATGACAGACTGTAATAAGCACGTAGATACAAAGTTTTCAGAGGTTTTTACAGTCAGTTCTCTGAGTGAATGTATTCTCATAAAACGTCCATAATATTGGATTAGTATTGCAACACCTGTTTTGTTATATAGCACTTCCACGCTCGGAGTGGAACAACGGTAGATCAAAGAGGGAAACTGGATGGGGTCCAGTCCAGCTAAACTTCTGTATATGTAACCGATATGCATGGTATATCGGAGAGGCCTTGCACCCACAATGCGTTATGTAAGATTTAAAGAGCTTTATCCTTTGATAGGCACAAAAACAGATTATCAAGAACAATGGCTAATGTGTGTTTTCTTAGCCTAGCCTAAATAATCTTGTGCATGGACGCTTCTCATTGGGTGACGACGATGGTCACCAGAAGGCATAATCAGATTAATT